CTTTCTAACTTAAAGTTAACTTATCTAAAGTTTCAGTATTTTAATTCTAGTTTTTTTAACCCATATGTTTATCCGTTTGGTTATTCAGCATTTCTTACTGTGTCACACATCTTTCTTGAATTATTTTTCTTCTTCCTTTGATAAGTGCATTAGAAGTACATTCACGAGAGCTGGTTCATAGTAAGGTCTCTTAGTTTTCATTGTTTGAAAATTCCTTAGTTTCCTTTCATTCTTTTTTTTTTTTTCAGGTGAGGCAACCCTTGGTTGACCTCACAGATTGCAAGAACCTTGTCAGCTTACAATTCCTTATTTTTTTTAATGTCTACAGCACCTAGTCTTCCTCCCTAGGTGATCTCCCATCCGAGTACTAACCAGGCCCAACCCTGCTTAGCTTCCGAGATCAGACGGGATCCGGCTTGTTCAGGATAGCATGGCTGTAGACCCTTTCATTCTTGAAACATAAATTTTTCTAGATATATAATTCTAGGTTGATAGTTTGGTTTTAGCACTTGAAGATATTTAACTGTTTTCAACTGTTCTTGAAAAAGTAGCCACAGTCTAATTGCAGTTTCTTGTACATAGCCTGTCTTCTCTATCCTCCCTTCTTTCTCTTGAGTGTTCTACTATTTCATTATCATGTAAGCGAGTGTAGATTTTCTTTTTTCTTTTTAAATTCTGCTTTGAATTCATTATGCTTCCTGAAAATCTTGATTGATTTCTTTTATTAAAGTTGGGAAATTGTCACCCATTGTATCTTTAATAATTGTCATTCTTTTTATTATTTACTCTTGGAATAAATATAATGCTATATTATATTTATCATCCTAGTTTGCATTTTTTTTAACATCCCTTTCAGGGTTCCATTTCTTTGTCTATCTCTGTGCTGCATTCTAATTAATTTTTTTTGTAATGTGTCTTCCAGTTCACATACTTTCTTTTCTGGTTTGTATAGTGTGCTACTTAACCTATTCATTAAGTTTTTAATTTAAATCATTATACTTTTCATATCTAAATTTCTATTTGACACTTTTTCATAGCTATCTAGTCACTTTTCACAGTCTCTTATTCCTTATTGCATTTGTTTTCTATTGTTGCCATAGTCACTTAAAACTCATTATATTAAAGTGCTGAGGTTCAAAACCAGTGTCAAAGGACTAAAATCAAGGTGTCTGCAGGGCTATGTTGCTTACTGAAGGCTCTATTTTAAGAATAGGCTTATCATGTTGTTGATAGAATTCAATTCCATGCAACTGTAGGACTGAGGCCCCTGTTTCCTTGCTGGGTTTTAGCTGAGGGTCATTCTCAGCTTCTAGAGGCTGCCCGCATTTCCTGACGTGTGACTTTCATCTTCAAAGCCAGGAACAGTGAGTCCAGTCCTTCTCATGTTTCTAATCTCGCTGACTTTCCATTCTGTCTCATCTTACTCAACTGACTCTTCTGCTTTCCTCTTCTGCTTTTAAGAGTTCACATAATCACATTGATCCCACTTGGAAAATCCAGGATAATCTCCCTATTTTAAAGATCTGCAAAATCCTTTCATAGCAGTATGTAGATTAGTATTTGATTGAATAACCAGGAAACAGAAATCTTAGGAGGACATTTTTAGAGTTCCGCCTACCACACTTATATATCCAATACCCTCTTCAAAATTTTTAAACATTATGCTTCCTCATTTTATACTCTGTATTTGATAATTAGAATATCTTCTGTTTTTGTACTTTGGATTCTGTTTCTTTTGTTAATGTTGGCTCTTGCACAATATGCTTTATGTCTTGGCAGATTTGCGAATTTTGATTATTATCTTAGAAATTCTTTGAGCCTCGGGTTGAAGTAATTCCTTCTTTTGCCAGGTACTTGGGAATGCTACAACCCAGGAGAGTTTTAAAATAAAGGTGTAGATGAAGGTTCCACCCCTCCCACACACACACACATACACAGTGGTATTGAGATTTTAACCCCTGACCTGTGTGATTATGAATTTTCAAGGAAGATTCCACCCAGTGCATGCGCCAAAAAATTGAATTTCTCTTGATGTTTCTCTCTATGGGGTGTTTTTTTGTTTGTCCCCCCATCCCCACCCCTTAGCTCACATTTTCCACTGAGAAGATAGCCCTTTGAGATCCTAACTCTATATAGTTTTCTATTCGACTTCTAACTTACTGGTGTCCTAGATTTGTCTCTCATCCCTTGTTCCCCGTGTACCTATTAAAATAAAATTGCAAAATCTCTCGGGATTAGCATTTGCTGCTTTTGGTCCCTGCTTCAGTCTCTGGATTCTTGCTGGTGCTTCACCATCTTTCCTTTTTGAAGATTTCCATTATTTTCTTGCTGATGCAGTAATGTATGTTATACACTATTTTTTTTATTATTATTATTTGTCCTCTAGAAGATCTTGCCCCTCTCACCCTCTAATATTTCTTTCACTAGATTGTCATTAAGAAAAGCCTCTTTATTTTTTTTAAACTCCATGTCATTTTCTTCCTAGACAAATGAAGATCCTCATATTTAGAAAAACCTTTTAATTTCTACTTCAGTTATATGCTCTTTTTACTGTTTACTCCCGGGCTAGTCTATCTCACCTCTACAATGGGGGCCTTTGATTTTGATATTTGCATTCAGAGCTTAGTAATCTTTACTTTGACAAGAGTGCTTCATTTGGAAATAGCATGGTTAACAGTTACTGAAATAACAATTATTAACTATTTTCCTTTTTATATTATGTTAGAGTAATAAAACTGATCCTGTTTGGATTTTCTCTTTCATTGCTGGTACAACCTTCCCCCGCTAAAAATAAAAATTAAAAAATTAATTTGGTAAAATCCACACAGTCAAACAAAGATAATAGTCATTCATTAACTAAACCAAAAAAACTTTAGAATGTGTCATCACAAAGCTTCCTACTAAATATTTAGCTATGGCATAGATATAATAATATATCATACACATGTCAATTAATGTGCCATGATATTGTTTTATTAATTTTTGCTAATAGGTTTAAATAGTAATATTGGCTACCTCCCTACTTCCCAGGCTGAAAGGAGAGAACAAAGTCTTAGATAGCAACTAAGGTGAAAATAGTGCACACTATTTGAAAGGAAGGAAGTCTGAATTCTAGAGATGCTGACATGTTCAGAGGCAGTTTGAGGTGAGTGAAGGATATACATATGCCAGTGAAACCCTTCAGGCACTTGCATGAAAGGCAGTAAATAGGCACTTAGTGAAATTGCTACTATTATCTAGACAAGATCTAATGCTAAGAAAAATACTGGAATTTAAAATGACAAAGATTTCTAGTTAACCTTAAGTAGATCAAGGATCAAGATAATAACAAAAACACTATCTACCACAAAGTGGGAAGACGAAGATTTGTTTGATTATCTGTTAAGGTTGTCTTTTAAAACTTTCAAAGACGGTACCCAACTCTCAAACTAACAGAACTTGAGAATTTGATGTAAATGGGGCAAATATGAAATGGGTGAGTTAAGTCTTTTTGATATATCAACCAAACATAAAGATGTAGCAAGAGAACTGTATGTCTCACTTAAAAAAATTTTGACTAAGTATTATTTTTTCTGTACTCAGCTGGCAGCTGTTGGAAGTAATTCATTAAAATGATTCAAGCTGAAATGTTTATATTATATTCTTGAGAGCAAAACTTACTCATTATAATTTGAAAAGTCATTTCATTTTTTCATAATGAAAATGTATTTCTCGTATAATATAATTCAGCAATGATAAATTGAATGACTAGAAAAAAAGAAGAAATGTAATAAACACTATGAATCATAAATAAATGTGTAACATGATGAGGAAGGAAACAGGTGAATAGAGTAAACCTAGAAGATATACACAAAGCAGCAATATTATATTTTAAAGTTTAAAAAATTAATTTTAAGCTAATTTAAGAAATGATTAATTTTGCTTTGACTAATTAATATAATGCACATGGGCTATTTGTTATATTTAATTTCTTAAAGAACTATTCCTTTTTTAAAAAAATCTTCTTTACTAAATTTAATTTTCAAAAATAACTTTATAAATGATGTCATTTACATGAAAAGCAGATTAGAGTTGATGAAAATTAAAAATAGCAAAAGTGGTTTTTAAACCTCGTCTTTTATTTTTAGTATGAGAATGTCTATGTTTTAACTTCTCCATCTTTAAAATTTCCACTTTTGTTTTTGATTGCTATTTTTTCCCCTTTAGTCTAATTTTGTAATGCCAGTAGACTATTTTTTCACATCCTGTGTGCCAGGAGACTATTCTCTTGCTACTTTTGTTTGAATGTTCAGTTCTCTTCTCTTTTGGGTTAGCCCATAAATAATTTATATTTTATTTGTAAATAATCAACAGTTTTAATTTTTCTTTCTTTATTTCCCTCTGGTATTTCATTTCAATGCTGATATAATACAGTTATGTGATTTTTCTATGTCTTTATACACAGTGATAATTCATTTAAATTTCTGAATTTCTTCCTTTTAATATATGGCATTATGTATTTCTAAAATAAGGTAAACACTTAAGCAAAATTGTTATACATATAGATAAATGTGTTAATAGTTTTATAGTGTTTAGTTCTCTTAACTATACTGTGCTAATAGTGCAAATCATAGTGAACTTAACCCATAGCCCTACAAAATGTATTTTTCAGTGCACTGAGATCATAAAAGTATGAATTATATTGCAGATCAAGTAGAAATTAGTTCTTATCTGTGAGTTTTCTGTTGTTAATGGATTCACGTTTATTTAAACTTTGCTTTTGCACCACCAGATGACCACACTAATTCCCTCAAACAACACTATGAAAATGATTTATCCAAGTCCCTAATTATCTTGTATATTTTATTTTCTATTTATAGCTTCATGGGAACTTTCTCATATAATAAATTGACATTTGAAATGGTACACTGAACCCAAACTGCAAGATGAAGCAAAAGACCTAATTTCTTTGAAGGTCAAGTAATAAATTAGTCTTATAATGAAGCAGGATACATATGGTCCATGAGCAAAATCACAACCATGGGTTTCTTGATGAAGGAAGGCACGTAGATGCTCTTTGGTTGCATCTCAAAGGAAATGCGGATTCTGAGTTATGTCAGCAAGTTTTGGGTGCTCACTGGAATTGCAGCAGCTACACCAGGTGGAATTAAATGTGTCATCAGTTTTTCGGAGCTAAATTTTGCAGTGAATTCTTAAAGCTTCCCAAAACTCACCACAGGATGGTCAGAGATTTGTGCTTGTCATGGCCCGGTATCATTACTTATTGAGGGAGCCCAAGAAGGGTAAGAATTGAGGTCAAATATAGGCACAATCCAGGTGAACATACCAAGCATCACCACAGCAACACCCACAATATTAACGCCAAGTCCAGCTTTAACCTTGAATAGGAAAGAGTATAAATGTCAGTCTCTGGAAAAGAAAACCTATGGAAGAATTGGAATACTGCTGCAGAAGGCATATGTCAGATGCACATGCATCCGAAACAATTAGCATGAATTGTTGATTTCAAAAAAAAAGGTTTTTCCATTTATGTCAAAGAGAATCTGTCCCCAACAAAGTGCCATTTAATTGGAAAGTATCAGAGAGGTGAAAAAAACAGGTTTTTCCATTTATGTCAAAAGAGAATCTGTCCCCAACAAAGTGCCATTTAATTGGAAAGTATCAGAGAGGTGCCTTTTAGGAATATACTAGAGTCATTCTGATTAGGGAAAAGTCCCTTTAAATACCTGCCATTTCATGTTAAATCAAAATTTGAGTTTTACAGTTTTGTATTTCAGTGGTAAGGTTCAAGTCAGTATATGATAACTGGATCCTTCATAGTCAATATTATTAATAGATGACCAGTACCCTCTTACTGAAATTTAATAATGTGACTTCTATTTATCTTTCTTAGAGTTCCCAGTTTTCTAGCTTTGACATCATCATTCTGGAGTCCATTAAACAATCTCAAAGTTGCTTTCTATTTGGTTATAGTCCTTTTTGGTTTGGTTTGGAAGTTAGCAATCAAAATTGGGGGGAGACCAGAATATTCTCGTTAGTTTTTGACGACTGCTACTTTCATATTTCGTATTTGGCAAAAACGTGCATGTTTTGTCACTTAAAATTTCTATTATTACCTGTTTGTGCTTTCATTTCAGATGTCACTATTAGAATCAGAATAAGAAAGATGATTTTTCATCAGTTGGGAACTGAGCCCCATGGCTTATTCAGAGCAAATGTCCATTGCATAAATGTTTGTGATAGAAAACCACAAGCTTGATTGCTAAATTTCATTAACCCTATTTCTACCTTTTGCATAGGCCAGTTTAGATTACGATCTTGACATGTAAGTTTAAGCCACTGTGTTGAACATATTCTGCTCTTTTCCTTCTCCCAGAACACTATTGATACATTTAATATCTCTGTATTTGTGACTATAAATTCTAATGACATATTCCCTTCTGGTTATCACTCTTAGAAACAATTCTATAGCCAGTCATGCACTCATTTTTGGAAGCAGAATTCAAGCCATGCTTTTCCTGGCAGTCTATTAGTGTGTAAAAGGAGAGATTACCTAAGCTGTCGCAAACAAACAAACAAACAAACAAACAAAATGCTATTGGACCTGTTGATATTCTTTCAGTTTACTTACCATGTCAATAACTTTTAGATGGCCATATGAAAAAACTATAGCATTAGGTGGATTTGCTACTGGTAGGAGGAATGCAAATGATGTACATAGAGTAGAAGGTATTAAAATATAAAGAGGGTTCACGTGAATGGCTTCAGCCTGTTGAATAAGATAAAAAAGAGTCTAAGTAAAATTTTGAGGTAGGCACCAAGCATCACAGTGAGCAAAAAAAGCAGGTTGAAACCTAAAGACATAAAATTATACACACAAATGCAGTTATAACTTGAAGAATATTTTTCGGAAAATGTCTCTTCCTCTCGTTTATGTTTATTGGTGCCCATTTAAGCATTATAGCTCAGTTTATTTAAAAAAAAAAAAGTATCATTTATTCCAGAAACTAAAAACCGCAAACATTTATTTTTCTAATGCTAGGTGCTGTGCTAAGTGTTTACATATATGTAAAATATATGTGTTTACATATAACATATATAAAGTTTATATATATTATATATAATGTACAAAATACTATAATAAACTATATTTACAACTCAATTTTCATAATGACATTATAAGATGGCTACTATAGCCCCAAATAATAGGTGAAGAAACTGAGGCACAGAAAGATTAAAGTAACTTGTCCAAACATACAGCTGTCAAGCAGTAGAGCTTAGGGTCTCAGGTCCCTCTGGCTCCCAAACTTCTCATCATTCTATTAACTTTACTGCCTCTGTGACATATATAATTTAAAATTTGCTTCAGGATCATCACAGAAGAGTTACTATGATTATTTATCACATATGTTTCTAACTGCTCTATGTCGAAAAAGAAAAAAAAGAAAAAAAACAAAATAATGTTTTGCCAATTTCAACTCCCTACATTTCTTTTCTAATTTGAAGCAACAGCTCAAGAATGCCAACATATGCCCCTTGGGCTGGTAGCAGAACAATTCCAGAAGGGCAATCCTTCTTAATTTAAAGTTCTTTTGTTTCACCAATCCCATCTGTTCCGATAAGAAAAACATTTACTTAAAGCTATTTCTTGTAATTGCTAGCTAGGTGAAGAGAAGAAAGGAAGACCATCTTTCTCTCTTCTTACAATTCTGCTTTTTACTTATCTTTTAAAATTCTTCCCTGGGTAGTAGAAAACTGTGTCTAAGATATTTAAGCTCGAAGCCTGAAGTGTAAGTCTAGCTTTACATTCACTTGCAAATCACTTATATCAAGTCTTTCTCAGAAATTCAGAAATATTCTTCCAGAGGGAGAAGTGTCAGAGTTAGAGATCTAAATACTAAAGAACCCCAAAGTCTTACAGCTACAAAGGACCCTCCCATTTATCTGCAAATGAAAAATCTGAGCTGAGAGAAGGTGGATGATTAAGACTGTGCTGCATGAACAAGAAGAGAGTCTCCTGAGTTGAAGTCTCCTGAAAAATATTAATGCAAATAAAGACCACTCTATACGTTACTTACAGGAGGACCTCAGGCCCCAAACAATTCCACTTCACAATATCAGAACAAGCAAAGTAGAACACTGCTCTTTGCTGAAGAGTATAATTGGTATAAATGAGATACTCACCAATGGAGATAATATTGGTAGAAGAAGCGTAATGGTAGCTGGATTGCTGGCTACCTCTGTTAAAGATGTGACAAGCAAAGAAGATATCAGAATTATTAGCCATAATGGTAATGAACCAAGAGGAGATAATTTATTTCCTATCCACTTAGATAGTCCTGATTCCTAAAAAAAATTGCAAAATTTGTTAATCATTAATAATTCATTTTGATAGACACAATTTAATTTTTTAAAAAGCATTATTTGCTCTAAGAAATCAGTTTCTAAAAATGTAATCTTGATCTCATATATTTTTATGGTTTGGTAGATCTGGGTGGCTTTGACATGGAGAAACTCTCAGTTGTTCTTATTTTAACACTACAAACATGCTTTAGAAAGTTTGAATTGTCTCCCACATTTTTTTCAATTAAATTTCAATTTTATGTAACTAATGTATGTGGATATTTTAACAAGTAGTACTATAGAGCTTTAATAGCAGCTCTCTGGTCTACCTCTCTCCACTCCTAAATTGTGTTCCCCAGAGGCAACGGCTTTCAACCTATATTAGCTATTTAGAGCTATGTTTAAGTATTTATATCAATTTTTCAAAATTAATTTTTTTCCTAATTTTCAAACTTAGACATTATTTACCAACTTCCTAATATGTTACATAAGGTTTCAGCTTTTTTACACCATCTACCATAGTTATATTTCCTGTCCCTCCATTCCCTTATACTTATATATCAACATTTTCGGTTAAGTCAATATTTAAAGTTTACTGTTATGATTATATCAATATTGTTTATACCCGTCAATTAATGTTCTGTGATTATATTTACTTTTTTTTGTTTTATTGTTGTTCATTTCGTTTGTTTGTTTTGCCAGGGAATAATTGCTTCATTTTTTGCTTGGTTTTCTACTTACCTATCACTAATTCTTCAGCACACCCTCCAGTAAAACCAGAAAGCTCCCCACAAGTAGACAAACATATCGGGTCAGTGTTCTTTTTCATTTTCCTTCATGAAGACATCCATTCTGGAGTATTCCCTCCTTCTGTCCCATCTGGACTAGCTGCCTTTTAAATCTATTCTACTGTTATTCTGAGACCTCTCTTCACTAGTGTGCTATAAATTCCCTTCACCTGCCTCTTGTGTGGGAATGCTCTCTTGCTAATTCCTTTGTGTTGGTGGAGCACATTCTTCTATAGCTTTCTGAGAATTGGTGCAGGGGAAGTACCTTTTTTTAGTTTCTGCATGTCTGAAAAATCTCTTTATTTTCTTTTCACACTGTTTTTTATAGTTTAGCTTTCATGAAATTTTAGACTTAAAATAATTATCTTAGCCATTGCTCTATTTCCTGTGGCTTCCAGTTGGGTTCTTTAGAAGCCTGATGACATTCTAATCTTTGATTCATGTGCGTAGTACAAATAAGTCAGCTGTACTCAAATTAATAGGCATGTTATTCTATTCTCCCTCAAACGGAAGGAAAAAATCCTCTATGAGATTTCGGTGAGCTACTGCATGTATGAATCTTTATGCCCATGACAAACTAGGATTGGCATCTTTTAGAAAAGCTCTAATTACAAGCAGGGTACTCTTTGATCAAAGGTTGGCAAAACATCCCCAGATATGGATACCAGATATTATATATGTTATTTGTGGTTTTGATGTATATTTCTGTTTTTTGGTCTCGACTTTTAGATGGAAAAAATCTGCCTACCATTTAAGTAGCATTGCTACAAATTCATCCTAGAATATAACTACATAAACTTTAAGAACAGATTTTTATCTATGTCTGATTAGATGCAGCTGGCAAAGGTTACAGCACATATTGTCTCCCTTCTCTGGAGGTTATTGGGATTGTATCATCACACCTGGAGTTCCAAAATTCTACATGAAGTGCTTTGGAATCGGGCACTTAGTAGCTTTCTCACTCCAGAATGTACAAGTCTTCAATTCTGGGAAATTTCTTGCATTGGTTTTTGGAAATGTTCTTCCATTTCTATTTACTTTCTTCTTTTTTTTTTCTTTCTTTCAGAAACTCCTAGTTGGCTGTTGGACATATTGGATTGATACTCCAGTTTTCTTATCTCTTCGTTTTTTTTATGTTACCTTCTATTCATTTTTTTGTTCCCTTTTCTGGGGTATGTTCAAACTATCTTTTAAGTTTGCTACTGAATTTTAAAATTTCTGTTATTTATCTTCTATGGCTCTTATTTTCTGTCTATGCCTTTAAAAAAATAACATTCTGTTTTAGTTTCATGTGTTTATCATTTCTGATATCTCTTTTAGGGACCAATAACAGAGTTTTAAAGTTTTCTTTGTCTTTTTTGTGTTCCTTTTCTTTTTATTCTATGTTACTGGTTGTTGTATCAGAGGCTTTCTCAACTATCTGATGACCCCGGTCTGTCTATTCATGTTTAAAAGAGAGACAATAAAAGGATAATTGGAAGCTCTTTGTGCCTAGGCAAAGACTCTTGAGAAGAAGACTTTACTAGGTGATGGAGCTGTGAGCCAATGTCTCATCGATTCAATTTTGTTACACAGTAAATTTAATTTTTCTTCTGTGGAGGAGAGAGAATACTTGCCTGTCCATTCAGGACTGGAGAGAATATCTGGGAGGCTCACAGCTCCTTATACACCTTTAAAACCATCTTCCACTTTTAGTACTGTTTTTTATCCCAGCTGTCAATTAATCTGCTGCTTTCAATTTCTAAGCTCTTTCAGGATCCTGTGTATGAATTGGCTTGTTTCTTGTTGGTTCATCCTTTTGCAGGCCCATAGTTTTATCTTTTTCTATCTTTTCTATAGTACAAAGTCAGTTGCCTCTCAAATATTCTCTTTCCTTCTTTTAAATGTTATTAACAGCTCTTACATGTATTCTTCCTGCTGTAAATTCGTTACCTTTATGGATTGAACTTTTATTTGTTCTGTTATGGTCATTTTAGTGGAGAGCTGAGAAAAATAGTGTTAAATCTGCCATGTTTCGCCTAGGAGAAAAACTTTGAGGACTATATGAAAAAGAGAGAGGAGGAATTATTCACTACTAAGAATTTGAAAGTGACTACCAGCTCATGAGAGTTCAGTCATGTTAAAACATATCAAAGGATATTTAAGACAGAAAGAACTGTAATGAGATGATTGCTTTAGCAGTTGCTATTTCACGGCTCACAACTAAAAGGGTTATCTATTTCTGGACATTTGCTAAACTACTTACAATTCGGAATAAATTTTAAAAAATTAACTGTCTCCAAATCTTTGTAAAACCAGTTTCTAGGTGCATATTTGTCAATAGACATGTTTTTGTAGCACATGGTTTCAATCTAATCACTTTGGTGTAGAGCTATTCTGGGCATCTTATAGAAATCTGATTCTATGTAATACTAGGATTTTCATAGCCACTTAGACGTCCTTCCATGGTTTCCCTAATTTTTCCAATGAGAGAGACTACTACATCAGACTACGTCCAAACCTTTTCATTTCCTTAGACTTTGCTATTCTAAGATTTGGCCAATGCTTTTAAAACCACTTTGAACATCTGGGTCCAGTCCTGACAGATATTCTGGGAAGGAAGAATGAACAAAGTTCACATCAATGTCAGAATTGCTGATTCTAATATCCTCACAATTCAAATGAGCAGACATAGGAATGGAAGTTATTTATTCTGAGAAACCAGATATCATTACTGCTGAACTTTTTGTATCTGTCTTATATTTCTATCATTTATATTCGAGCAGTCTATAAGGCAAGCCAAATCTAGAATGAAAATAACTTTGTAAGTGGCACTCTGAATTGTACATATTACTAAATCTCATTGCTGAAAGCTCAGGATCCAAATACCATAGAGAAAACCTGACAATAAAGTCAGAAGCAAAAACTAGTCTCTCTATGGATTTTAAGAAAAGAACAGAACAGAGAGTTCTTTGTCTTGAGAAGTGTAAAAGTTTAACTTCCCAGAAACTAAAAGTCTGGACACGACATCTCTCTCACTTTTCTTTTTAGTTTGATGACTAAGAAAATGGAACGGCCATGAGCTTTGAGTGTTTTATAGAAGACTATAAAAATCCAGAAATTAGAGATTTTCAATTAGTCAGAGTAAAAGATTTTCATGGAATTTTTGGAGAAGATAGTTTTCATCCAGCAACCCTACAATGTCCAGGGCAATTTCAGGGACAAAGATCTTCTCAGATTTCTACTTTATTTCTACTTTACATTAGATTTCTACTTTATATCAGCTGGATAGATCGGCCAAAGAAATGGCCAACTCTATTCCTCAGGGTGGTTTTACTTCTTCCAAAAATTAGACATAATATAACATTAGCCATGGTTGTGTGAAATTCTCTCTGGAATTTATTCAATAAGTATGTATTTAGTACCTTTATGTGCTTACTATGTAAGAAATATTGTAATAAGTATATAATGTAAAGTACTAATATTTCTTATCCTCCTTCGACATTAGAACCTTGATATATTGCACAGAACTCTAAGAGCTACTCAAATTCATCATGAAATAAAGTAAAAACATTACGAAAATGTTTCACTAGGAGTCACTGTACATATGATTTTTATATTAAGTTTTTCTTCCTAAGCTAGTCTTCTAATACTGTTTCATGAATTAAGAATTCTGATCTTTGCTTTATTTCTTTTGACACGCTGGTACATCATTAAAAAAAAGAATGTTTTATGCTTGCAGCCTGTAAAAATTTTTGAACTCTGAACTGACCTCATTTGCGTGGTATACTTATTGCATGACTATTGAAATCTGTGCCTTTACAACAATAGAATGAAGTTAAATATACCAAAAGCTTGGATAACTGTGTTCTTCTTTGGAACAGCCTAGTTAATTGTTAAATATCTTAGACAAGAATATTACCTCACAGCCATCTGCCAAGGCAAACCCTCCACCGACAAGAATGGCTATATTCCAGGGCATGAACGACTGGAATTCTTTCCAAGTAATCAGAGGAGAGTAGTCAAACGCAACTGCGAAATAAAAGCCCTACAGTTATGCATGGGTTAAAATGCGATAAAATGACATTTTTTTTTCTCATCATCTTAATAGCCATTTCACAAGAAGTTTTTAGTATTCCTAAGTTGTTTTTAGATAGAGGATTTGATCTGGATGGAATTTGAGTATTGGTCTAGGTGGAAGATTTCATTCTTTTTAAAAAAATCATATCTTGGAAAAATTCTTTGGCTCATATTATAGGTAGGGTTAGATAAATTATAATATCATTTATAATGGTATTCATTCATTCATTCATTCATTCATTCCACTACGAGTAACACAGTGTATTGGACTGTATTGTTCTTTGCTATACAAAAAATGTAATATTTCTTTGGTTCTAATAGTATCGAGGCAGCATTATAATTATTATTTGTTAACATTTACCTGAATCTTTACTATTTTTTTCAAATCATGAGAGGATCATGATAGATTCTTTGGATTCCAGTTTAAAGTAATTCAAAGTTCAGGTTAAATAATTTAAGTATGATTCATGAGACCCTTAAAATACTCGTAAAGCAATTATCATAAAGATTTATCTTGATAGTTGGGTCCTCATGGCTCCATGGATTTGTTGAGAAATAGGGTCATCCATGAACACATTATGCTCACTTAACATTTATGTGTAATAGGCAGCTTTCCACCTGATGAGATCTTCCTATGCCTTTTTCCCAAACCTAAACCAAACCTATTCTTCACTGTTGACTGAAATTTTTCTATTTCTTACTTGAATTAAGGCCATATATCCTGTGAAAATGCAAACATCTTTGACATGTACTTTTCATGTAAATTTTACCATATTATGTCTTATCTGTTATGTTTAAACCTAGTGTGAATGCGTTCATTGGGAGAAAAAGAACTGAAGAATGAGAGGGAATGGTGGATAGGGGCAAGGCTCTCTGAGTGGGGATTCAGAGGAGGGAGCCAGGGAAGTTAAGCCAGGCACTGGTTCCTCAACACATGTCCCTGCCAGGCCGTAGGGCTTTGAGTCCTCAAGGTCTCCTAGGAATCACTGCTCTGTGTTGCAATATCTCTTATAACACACTTTGAGAAGTTCTAGTCTCAATGGAGAGCAAAAGGCATTTATTCCTAAGTGGTGCTGTTTACATGAAATCTAAAAATCCTAGAAATCTGACTCATTAGTCATTTATTGATTCTGACTGAAGGAGCCCAGTGGGCTAACCCAAGAGCATGAATCCCAGGTCCATTCCAGTTTTAAAAAAAAGGAAAAGAAAAAAGAAAAACAAACAAACAACAAAAACCTCCCACAACTCTACTGTACTAGACTATTTCCAGACAATTTTAAACCATTAGTCCTACATCGGCAACATAAGAATCTGACTACCCATAACATGATGCGGTAATATAAAACACAGACGTGGATGAAGCCTATGTTCAAGAAATGTGTGAGGAAGGGGAAGGGGCATACTCACATAAACATGTGTGTTTCTTTGTCCATGCTTTA